AATTCTCCCGGAGCCGTCGACGCGGATCACGTATTGGTCGAACTGGCGAACCTCGACCACGATTCCAGTCTTGTCCCATTTAAGGGGGTGTGGTCCCGTCTGGTTCTGTACGCGAACATGGTCACCAACTGAAAGGCGCGAAGCGCGGAAGCTTTGACATTTCCTTAAATTATTAGAGAAAGAAGACGATTCGTCGTACCGTTCTCGACTCGTCTAAATGAAGTTTTCCCCTTCCGCGCGAAGCGCTCAATTTTTGGCGTTTCATCACAATATAGAGAAAGGAAAACGATTCCTCGTACCGTTTTCGAATCTTATTAAGCCCTATTCATCTGAATTCAGTTTCCCCCTCTCGCGCGAAAGCTTTGACGTTTCCTTAAATTATTAGAGAAAGAACACGATTCGTTGTACCATTTTCGACTCTAAATAAGCTTTATTTTTCTGAATTAGTTTCCCCCTCTCGCGCGAAGCGCGGAATTTTTGGCGTTTCATCACAATATAAATAAAGGAAGACGATTCGTCGTACCGTTGTTGACTCTTAAACCTTGTTTGAATTTAGTTTCCCCGAAAATTTTAAAACTCTGATTTCTTTAGCTGATATATAGGAAAGCGAAACTTCGAGAAAATACAAGTATTGTAGTTGTAGTCACTCTCGAAGTCGTCACAGCGGATAAGAAGTCACAGTTCGTAGGGAAAAAAACTTGTCGGCCGACCGACAATATACATCTCACCGACTTCAAACTTCTGCATTAATATAGTACACGAGGATCGAGCAAGAATACCGACACAGCTGACCCGACACAGTAACATATTTACCCGTGTCTTTTCTGCTCCCTCGACGAGACGATTCCACCCAACGACCCCTTCTCTCTTTTATTCCCACTCCTCCTCTCTCAGACTCTTACCTCCAAGGGTGTCGATTTGTGTCCGTGGTTGGGGGGGGGGGGGTGATAGGTGCCATAATATTTTCGGCAATGGATCAAAGCAACCAAGAGGTAGAAGCGTGTGGCAGATTGCGCCCCCTCCCAAAGCGCGTAGCCAGGATTTCATTTTAGGGGGGCGGTAGTGAGCACGCAAGGCGTGGGAATCACTTACAAAGCGCGCTCTTTAGGGGCTTGGGTGCAGGGAGGGGGGAGTTTCCCCCCTCCCCCGCGAAACGCGGAAGCTTTGACGTTTCATTAAATTATTAGAGAAAGAAGACGATTCGTTGGACCGTTCTCGACTCTTAATCCTTGTTTGAATCAAGTTCCCCTTCCTCCGCCCGTAGCGCGGAAGCTCTGACGTATCATTTAATCGTTAAAGAAAGAAGACGAATCGATGTACCACTCTCGACTCTTAATCCTTGTTTGAATCAAGTTTCCCCCTTCTGCGTGAAGCGCGGAAGCTTTGACGTTTCATTAAATTATTAGAGAAAAAAGACGATTCGTTGTATCGTGTCCCTGTCTGAGCGCAATTCCCCCCACCCATCCAGCGCTAAGCGCGGATGCTTTGACGTTTCATTAAACTATTAGAAAAAGAAGACGATTCGTTGGACCGTTCTCGACTCTTAATCCTTGTTTGAGTCAAGTTCCCCTCCCTCCGCGCGTAGCGCGGAAGCTCTGACGTTTCTTTAGATTATTAAAGAAAGAAGACGATTTCATGTACCATTCTCGACTCTTAATCCTTAATGTTTGAATCATGTTTTTCTTCCTCCGCGCGTAGCGCGGAAGCTCTGACGTTTCATTAGATTATTAAAAATAGAAGATTATTCGATGTACCATTCTCGACTTGTCTGAATTCAGTTTCCCCCTTCCGCGCGAAGCGCGGAAGCTTTGACGTTTTAATTAATTATTACTCTTAATCCTTGTCTGTATTCATTTTCGCCCATCCCGCGCGTAGCGCGAAATCTTTGCCGTTTCACTTAATTATTAGAGAAAGAAAACGATTCGTTGTACTGTTCTCTATATTAATCGTTGTCTGAATTCAGTTTCCCCACATGATGTACGTATTATTAGAGAAGCAAATTTTTGCATGCACAGCCCTAGTGGTGGGTAGCATGTTATCTGCCGGCAGTGCATGTCGCAATAGCTTCTAGAAAGGAATTGTATACTACTGTTAGTGTTAACTGCCACTAATTAGGCCCATTAGTGACTGTACAAAATATATGCTCTTCCTGACTATTTGGGAATGTGTCAGTTTGAAACAGAAATGGAGAAATGCGAATTTTGTTGAAAATCATGTGATATCACAAACATTTATAAATCACTTGTATGAAATTGAAAATTAGTCATGGTTGGATGTTATTTGGGGGGGGGGGGCTAGCGCCCCCAAGCTACCCCCCCCCCCCACCAGTACGCCAGTGACATAGGTCTACATCAGCATTTCAATCAAGCAAAAATAAGTTGTGACCTAATAATCTTTCTCCAAAAATGAAAAATGTTTTAGGAAATATCAGGAAATAAAATGAGTGAAAAACAAACAAATAAAGATACAATGACGTGAATTTTAAAAAGGGTGAACGGAAACAACATAACAACTAGTGAACTATCTTATAAGTCATATTAATTAATATTATTAATTGATATTTCTCCTTGTCTCCGATCTCATCACGATGATCTCATCACATCATGATGGTCATCTGGCGAGTAATAACCATTAACTACTCTCATCGGGTTCTCATTTTTTTAATTTTTTATGGTGAATTATTGGGGGGGGGATGATTGTACAGGCCACCCCCCCCCCACCTGAAATATTGGGGGGGGGGATATATCCCCCCATCCCCCCGGGATCGACACCCATGTATTCAACGTTGTCTTGATTACGGTGTCTCAGTTTGGGGTAACTGTCCTAATAAATTGAAGTTACCCCTATTGAGACTACAAAAAGGGCAGCTCGTCACGTAACCGGTAATTATGATTATATTGATACTCCTGGTCTTGACCTGATGAAAAATCTATCGTGGAAAATAATTGAGGATCGACGTGATTACTTTCTATCTACACTGATGTACCAATGTGTTCACGGTATAGCCCCGTCCCGTTTATGCAATGATATTGAAATGTATTTCGATAGACATGGACTGAATACGCGTAATGCAAATTCCCTTAATGTTGTGCCGTCTAAACCAAACATTCAACTTTATTGTCAGTCTCTAAAAATCTGCCGGTGCTAAAGTATGGAATCTATTACCCAATAATTTTCAAAATGCTCAGTCTCTAGAAATTTTCAAATTATTGTACTAAAAAAAAAATTCGAATCCATTGAAATTACCTCAACCTCTAAGCTAACCTTCATTTGTATACTCTTATATGACTATTTTATGTCCGCTCACGCTGATCTCTTTCATTGTTATTCGAATGTCCAACGTCACACGCAAACAATGATGGCGGGCTCTCCTGTATATATGACTGACAAGGTTCAAATACTTCTCCCCCCCCCCAACAACAACCATACAAGAAAGAAAAAATTGTATTTCGTGCTATTTGCCATTTTCCTCATAGACCTCTAAATTCACAAATGTTTCAAAAGCATGGGCAGCTTTTCTCCGAGAACAACTCGATATTGTAGTCACCTCTGACGAGGTATTTCAACGATGAGTATGTGGATTACAATAAGTGGTTACTATGGCGGCTGACTCTATGGCCCTCTTAATGGTCGTCAGTAACTTTTTTTTTTTTTTTACTTGTCAGACAATCATATTCGTCATTGCCGCCAATTCCATCTTCACTACCACTGTCATCATGATCATCATCATCAATGTTTTCAACATCATCACCATTATCATCATCATTATCACCATCATCATCATCATCTTCATCGTAATCATCATCATCATCATCATCATCATCATAACCATCATCATCATCATCACTACCAGTATCATCATCATCGTCATCATGATCATCACTATAATCATCATCACTATAATCATCATCATCCTCACTATCATCATCATCATCACTTTCATCATCATCATCACTACCAGTATCATCTTCATCATCATCATCACTATAATAATCATCATCATCATCATCATCATCATCACTACCAGTATCATCATCATCATCATCATCACTACCAGTATCATCATCATCATCATCATCATCACTACCAGTATCATCATCATCATCATCATCATCACCATCACTATAATCATCATCATCATCGTCATCGTCATCGTCATCATCACTATAATCATCATCATCATCACTATAATCATCATCATATTCACTATCATCATCATCACTTTCATCATCATCATCATCACTACCAGTATCATCATCATCATCATCATCACTATAATCATCATCATCATCATCATCATCATCATCATCACCATTACTACCAGTATCATCAAAATCACCCCATCAATGTGTTCCACATCATCAACACCAGTACAATCATCATCATAATCATAACCTACTACAGTATCAATTCAAGGTCTACCCCTATCCTGTTATACACCTTTTATTTGCTTTTATTGTTAATTTTCGAAAAAAACGCTTCTGAAAGAATTGTTGTGAAAGACATCATATTAAATGCATCAATAACACAAATCCATTTGGTCACTGAATTTACTCATTGTCATTGCATTAGTTTCCATGGGCTAGAATATTTGTATAGGAATATTGCATTATCTACTACCAGCGGAATCGTAAACCATGAGTTACATTTTATTTAATACCGCCTCTATAGTCACTTTCTGAAATGTCAATGGAACTTTTGTGCGATTTCTGTATAGACTCCACATCCTAATCTGGAGAAATAAATGGCTTGAATAATTCACAGTGATTATGATCAAATATGAACAAATCAGTTTGAAGTTATGCTGTAGCAATGATTTTGATGATAAAAAATATTTATTTAAATTTCTTTTTTAAAGGGAAGTAATCTTTCTAAGCGACAATTCTTATCATACAATTTTGCCCTCGAAGTTGGGGTATTTTTTTCTCACCTCTTTTCATGTAATGATTGAGATAATATTGTTAATTCTTGACAAGTAACGTTTATATCTTTTCATCTATCAAGGAAAAAAACATTATCACAATCATTACATGAAAAGAGGTAACAAATATATTCCAACTTTATGGGCAACAGTAAAATATACGGGTAGTTGTCCTTGATAGGCAAATAATTGTCTGGGTAGGACAACTCCAAAATGAGGAGCTGTCCTAGGATCACTTGTCGGGGTGATAGTTATTCAACTGGGTTGTTGTTCTACACATGCTACAGGAGGAATTGTCCGGAGTGTTCTGATTGGAAGTTATCCTTCGGAAACCATCGTCTGGGTAACACTAAGTTTTGTTCAAATGGGTATTTGTCCTACGGGAGTAACCCATCCGGGTGGTAAAGTTGTCCGAGTTGTAATTTTCCAACGGATGCGTAATATTTTCTGCACGGTCATTCTAGATGTTGTAGTGAAGGGGGAATTTTCCTCTTCTTCGCCTCCATCATCGGGTACTTCATCTCCTGTTCATCATACTCATAGTCTTGAATTCTGGATGATTAAGAAGTAAAACAAGCACGTGACAATGGTCATATTGCGATGTTAAATTAGTCGTGTTTATAGGGAAATTGTTTCTGGCATTTCTTGAAATACAATGAACATCAGCAACATCATTATGAATCATAACGAATAGAATGATCCTATTATCAAAAACCATTAAACAACAAACCTTCTTGTTTTGTTGCCCCACGTCGACTCCCTTCTGTGTGTAGATTGTGTCGTAACACAGTTATACTTGTTGCAGACGACATGTTATTTACATTTTGCAATTACTTGTGCTCATCAAACATGGGAAGTGTTGAGACTACAAGATATCCATTTATGTCGAAGTTATTTATGATAACACTCACCTTCATAGTTGACTTGACCATCACCATCAATATCTGCTTCCCTGATCATTTCATGGACCTCATCGTCTGTTATCTTTTCTCCAAGATGCGTCATCACGCGACGCAACTCAGCAAAACTGTGGCGGTAAAATGGGGGAAAAGAAAAGAGCACTGACAAATCTGAGTGAAGCCATTTCAACATTCCATCGTGCAATGCCACTCTCCTTCTCCAAAAGACCTTGAATCAACAAGTGTTGCTTTAATAAACTTGTAAAAAATTGTTATTGTGTTCTGCTTTAATAATGTGCCTTAAGTGTGTACGTTCTGAGAAAGAAATGATATCATGAGTCGCGATCGTTAAAGTAAATCATCCGAAGATCAAGTGAAACTGACAGTGTTAGGCTCTGCATACGAGGCATCATTCTGATTACGTTCTAACCTACGCTAATCAAGTCTGAGAAGGCATGTTTTCGTTTTTAATCTCCCTTTTTGTACGATATCACCATTTCTCGGTGTGTCAAGACTGCACAAGACGCTAACGCAGTAGTACGTCTACACCATGGCTGCGTCTCACGAAACCGTCATTAGGGACTTTTAGATTTGTGTGGACTGATACGTGGTACTTCCATTCAAGGCAGTGCTTTAAAAGGACGTCGATCGTAGCATAGACCTATTGTCTTCGTGCGAATCTAAAAGTCCCTATTAGTACAAGTTCAGCGACATCCCATTGAAACGCCTGTTAAACTTAATACACAAATTTCAACGGGAGGTCGCTGAACTTGTGCTTATGACGGTTTCATGAGACCCAGCCCATGACGCTTCGTGTGCAATCATATTATGTTCATTATATTCGAGAGATTTTATACACTTTCTCAGATTTGACTCAATGAGTGAAAATTACACTGTCTTATGCACTGCTCCAAAATGGTGTAATTGACTGTGACCACATCACGGAATCACACTGTGTATGAGTGGCCACAGAGTGAATTTAACTCACTCATTCCATCTTTATCTACACACTTCGTCCACACTCTCTACGTCACAGGATATCATTTTTGTTTGTTGGTTTTTTTTCTTCGTTTTTTTTTTCGTTTTTATTTTCATTGAAGGCTCTGGAAGCATCCCTGATCCCATCTCCCCTCCAAAAGATAAATATGTTACCTGATGAAACCGTTGCCATCCATGTCGAAGACTCTGAAAGCTTCTCTCATTTCTACTTCGCTTTGTGTTTCCTTCATCTTCCTAACCTTCGTCAAGAATTCGGGAAAATCGATGATTCCGTTCCCTAGCCGATCGAAAACAAAATAAAATCACTCACTTATTCCATATTTTCATACAACATATCTCATTTTTATTCTAGAGATTTGTGCGAAGTTTTTTTTTAACTAGTACCGAATCTCGAAAAGTGGCATTTAAGATGCCTAAAAATTAAACTCCGGGAGGGGATGGTTTGACAACGGAGTTTAGGCTTGTCAATGCATTGAATGGAAATTTTGTTAATAAGATCATGTCAAACACACAACGATTAGGAGTTAATGAATTTAAAGGAAAAATAAATTGAAACAATTTAATTTTAAGACAATCGACTCAATCTCAAAATCTTCTGTGTGCCCATGCCTTGAGCCATAATGCATGGCCGTACAGAGGATTTTTTTATGTTGGGGACCGGGGGAATTGCATTTTCTTTTTTTCTTTTTTATTTGTGGGAACTGCCCCCTACCCTAGCCATCGCTGCGTACAGTCATGGTTCAGTGGCAAAGCAATGGCCTCGTAACTGTGAGGCCCCATGATCAAAACCGTGTCGATGTGCCATATTAGTGCCCTTTTGTGGGGCATTAATCCTCATTACTGTCATTTATGACTTAAGGGCGTAGGTCCCCTAGTTGATAAGCATAGTAGCATACACATGCTTTAGCAGTCACGCAAAACAAACACTGGCAAATTATTATTCAATAAAATCTAGATCTATTAGGAATAAATCATTGTCAAAATAATTCCATAAATTGGGGTAAAAAAAAAATATTCCAACTATATGACCGACGGTGTATAATGAAACGTGAAACTGTATAGAAGAATTTTGTCATGTTTTTTTTTAACGTGAAATGAACATTCCCTTCTTTGATAAATTGATGGAAATGATAACACATGTCTATAATGTAGATATTGATTTTAATATTGGTATTTAGTTAAAACCTATTTGCAAGAAAAAAAATTGATGATATTGTTACAATTGTCTTTTGGAGCTTATTTGAAATGATAATTTTGAGAAACGAAAAGAGGAAAGATGAAGGGAAAAAATTGTGGTATATTTTTCTTGAAAAAAGCTAAGAGACGTTTGGACATCAACGCAGCTCTATTAAAATAACGAAAACGTAAAATGTATAATTTACCTGAATTGATAGAAGTGTACGTGTAATGTATTATAGTGGTGATGTTGAACAAAAATGTATGTGAGTTTGATTATTTTGTTTTAATAATACACCTGCTAATGGTGAAAGAAAAAAATATCCCATTTTTATCCTGCTCCGAGGTCAAATCGGGAAGAGAATACTTTAGGGCGGTTGATTTGCCATGCGCCTTGATTATGGAATTTATCAAGCTAGGAGAGACTAACGTACAGTACCCAATGGCAGTCAGGATTTGTCTACATATTAATTACCTGTTAGGAAGTTGAATTATTAGTTGTTTAGTTGTTATAGTTTGAACTCGAATATGGCCGCTACATTCGAGCCAGTAATATTACGTGTCTTTTAGACGGACGTTTTTCCAAACCGTAAAACATTTTGGTAGAAGAACCCCCCCCCCCCTGATATTCGTGATGAATGATATGACGGGGGAGACGAGCACATCAAATAATAAAGGATATAATATAGTAATGTAAAAGGACTATATTTGATTTGATTTTATTTTATTTTATTGTATTGGTTTCTGCATCATTTTTCTTTTTTCATCATACATTTTCATGAACATAATACGGTTTGATACAATATTTTAAGTGTATATAATTTTATACAGATAATAAACGAAATTAAACAAATATATTGAATGCATAATTAACATACATTAGATGCAGGAGGGCTACAGAAATAAGCAAAGTAGCTTGACGTGCCCGCAGCCCTCAACTTAGATACAACAATACAAATACAAAAGAGTGTGACTTGCAGAGAAGAAAAGTAAAGGGGAGAGAAGGAGCATTGGTAATAATACAATAAATCTCATACATCTGTTGATTGAATGCAGGTTCATTCATGGATGGATCAACGATGCTAGGTCATGGAGGATTACACATCATTGTTGAATATACAGTCAATGTACACACGAACATGAATACAGTAAAATTACACACGACAGGATCAATACTTAGACAATAACATATTTTTAACTGCCTTCTTAAAAGAATACAAAAATATATCTCTATTTTTCCATTGTGAACTTACCATCAGCATCCACTTCCTTGATCATGTCTTGAAGCTCAGCCTCAGTAGGGTTCTGACCAAGTGATCTCATCACAGTACCTAACTCCTTGGTTGTGATGGTGCCATTACCGTCCTTGTCAAAAAGGGAGAAAGCCTCTTTGAATTCTACAGAGATGGTAAAAATGAAACAACGAAGATCATAAGTGCCAGAAGAAGATAAGAGTTTGAGTTTGAGTTTGAGTTTTTATTAACAACACAACAAGAACATAGTCAATCATGATTACATAAAATATAACAATATAACACAAGATAAATAACATTACACATGAATAAGATAACCATCGTTTTACGAAGTATGTTATATACAAATGAAAGAAAAGATTATGTGTACACTTCTATTGTTAAAGGGGGTACCACAAGTTGGCACAAGTACTAGTCGAGCCTGGTTCCCTGTCTTTGGGAAGAACTTTTGATACTATGCTATATTACATATATACGATATAAACTATATAATGAAAGTAAACAAGGAAATAGAATAGTCATCGAGAAATGTTCCATACTGACTATATACATGTATTAGTCAACTGTATGTAGATTTCCATATCAAAACAAAACAAAAATACATCATTATCGAATGTGATGATCTTTTTAGAAATTCTCTAATCTGAGATATCGTATTCGCCGTTTCAAGAAGTCTTCATTTTTGTTTAACTCAGAGGATTTGTGGGGACATGCATTTGGTAATTTTCATCTCTCTCACGAAATATATATGCCGAAGCTTTAAGTGCCACCGATAATGTCATTGTATACCAAATAGTAAGGACAAACGTCGATTTCACTACAACCCGAAATAGCAGGATATCGCTATTGGACCAATCCTGCCCAAAGGGGATGTATACTCTAAATGTGTCGCCATTTGTTGTGACAATGGAGAAATTACATATCAGCAAAAAAAATCTCTTTTTAATAAAGAACGATATCTAAAACGATATGGTAATGTTTATCACTGTTTATTAAAGGCAATGCTCATATATCAAATTAGTCAACAAAAATATTTTTTCACTTTTCTAACGTCTGTTTTCTTCCTATCTTTAGCAGGAGTGAGGATACGACCATGATGAAAATATGGTACATGGGTTGAATTTATATTGAATTAAAGAAAAAAATATATGATGAAATATTACGATTAAAACCAATAGTTTGATAACAAATGATACACAGATTTGAGAAAGAAATGCTTACTCTCTCTCTCCCCTCTTTTCTTCTTTTTCTCTTCTCTTTCTCTTTCTCTCGCAAATACAGACTGGCCGGTTTTAGGGAACAATGACAACGTACATGCTACCAACGCGTTCCCATGGCAATCATGGATAACATCTTCATCGATTAAATTGTGTGAAAAAATCAAGAGCAAGTCTTATCAACAGATTAAAACACCTTACCTGCAATTTGTTCTTCAGTGAGTTGATCTGCCTGTGGGAAAAAAAAAAACAATGAACAAAATGAGCGTATAGACGATCGATTACTAAATATTCTTTTCCTATTTTGTTTCTCCTATTTTAGCATGGACTATACTTGGTAGCTGGAACCAAAATGAAATGCATTTTTTTTCCGGCTTCCAGTTTAATGATAATTCGTGAACTATGGAAGCGCATGGGTATGAGGAGGGGTGAAGAGAGAGAGAGAGAGAGAGAGGGAGAGAGAGAGGGAGAGAGATGGAGGGAGAGAGATAGAGAAAGAGAAAAAGAGAGAGAGAGAGAGAGAAGAGAGAGAGAGGGGGAGGAGACAGACAGGCAGTGAGACAGAGAAATATGGAGACAGACAACAAAGAGAGAGCAAAAAGGGAAATACACATACTCTCTGAATCTAGATAGAGTGAGTGAAAAGAGAGAGAGAGAGAGGGGGGATGAGAGAGGGCAGACTGTGTACAATCTGTGGGATGTTTGTGCAGTACACAACGCCTCAGATCCCCTAAATACTTCCACATAAGACAAATAAATTGCAGAAAAGATGGATTCGCATGGAACAAACTGAAAGTAAAATGGCCTCCAAACGGCAGTACAGTACACACAGAACGCCAATGGGCCATTAAGGTCGCAAATCGGTTATTGCATTCTCGCAAAGTATTTGCGTTAAGGCCCGGTCACACAGCCCTCCACGGGCGTATCGCGGCCGAATCACGGCCAAAAATTTCTGCCCGTGAAGCAGACGCTGTTGGACGCTTTGAGGTCGCGATAAAGACGCGATACAGCCGTACTTTACCCGTCGTTACACGCGGTAAGAAATTCACACGCGGTTGGCCGCGCGAAAAAGTTTTGGGCTGCCCAAAAATTTAGACCGCGGGTAATCGCGGGCGGTACACGTGGTACACGGGGTACACACGCGGTAAAGACGCGGTACAGACGCGGAACGAACGTGCTAGGACGTGCTACGGCCGCGGTTAAGACGTGGTTACACGCGGAATTGGACGCGAAATTTTAGCGGGTAATCGCGGGTGGAGCACGGTCATAGCACGTTTGTTCCGCTTCTGTACCGCGTTGTTATCACGTGCATTAGCGTGTGTACCGCGTGTAAGCGTGGTAGGCCGCGGTACCGCCGCGCTTCACCCGCGATAAGGACGCGGAACAGTCGCCGGCGTCTGTTCCGCGGGCATACCACGGGTAAACCGCGGGTAAGCCAATTTTGCACATTTTCCACCACGGGCAACCGCGGGCAAAAAAAAAAATCGCGAAATTTTACCCGCGATACAGACGCGAAAGGCTGTGTGACCGGGCCTTTAACAGGAGAGGGAAAAAAGGAAAAATACATGACAAAGGAATTCTAATAATGGCCCCATTATACATGTTCGCTTGCTCATATTCATAATTATGCGCTTTATCTTTTTGCTTCTATTTCAGTCTAATACACAAACCACACATGCCAATGTAACTCCCATCCAATGTGCTTGCGCCAGGTAATAAAATCCATATTTTTTTTTCTTCAACGAGTCCTTTCTTGCCCTGTTGTGAATAGTCGGAGCCACTAACAAGCAATCTATAATCACACATCAAAACAGGTACTCACTATTTAATATATCGTCAGTATATGAGGTCTAGAGAAAATAAAATGGACAGATACCTTTCCAACATAGAATGGATTATCTTTGAGGAAGTATATAGCCTCAAAATTACTGAATTAATCCCACTCACACAACATGCAAAACCGCGAATGTTTAGTCCTTAATGACAAACAGCACACATTAAAATTATTAATATTTAAATTGACTTACCATTTTTCTATGGAATGTGAGGTAAGTTTCGATGAAAGACAGAAAAGGATGATTGATTTGGCCGCGTCAGTGCTGTCTGACTCCTGTTGGTATAGAGGCGACGAGAGCTTGTGGCTTGTGAGCAATATTAACGAGCGATCCTGTGCGTCAGATTGCGAGCTGACTCACTCAATAATGTGCGTTCATGCTTTCAATCCATGCAAATATTGCTATTCACTCTATTTATTCAGCTTCCAAAATCTCAACCGGGGTTTTCCCATGAATATAATTAAAGGAAAATGTTGGGTTGTTTGTATAGTTGTAATGCGAACTACCGTTGTAGCAACAAAACTGTGACAAGGCGTAACATTTTACATTGTACGTCGACTAGTACAGGGCTTTGAGTATGAAATAGGTCTTACGGTAAACAAAATATCTTGTTATAGTATCTCGCAATGTGCATCGTTTTGATATTTATTTAATAATCATTTCAATAAATGTATTCGTTTTAACCATTAGGTTTCATACCATTATTCCAACCTCCATTGTAATCAGCATAATCGTCATTTCATTAGTGTTATTAATAGCATCATCATCGAGGTAAGTATTACTATAATCATCATCATCATCCTCTTCATCATCATCATCATCATCTGATCATCATCAGCACCAGCATCATCGTCTTTGCCATCACCTTCTTTGTATCATCTATCATCGTCACAAGCATCATCTTTAGAACCATAATCATCATTGTCTTTTCATCACCGTAATAATTAACACTATCTCCACTTTTATCACACTGTCATTGTCATCGTCATCATCATCACCATCACCATCATCATCATCATCATCATCATCATCATCACCATCATCATCGTCGTCGTCATCACTACAAGTATAATCTTGAATCATTTTACAATTATTTTGATACATAATTTATTTAACGCCAACGTGGAATGTGCGAATTAACTATACAATAACATTGGGCAATCACCATTTCATCTTAAATAGAATATTGATTTCAATGAGCTTTCATTTTTTTTTATTTCAGGAACGTCGCAGTATTATTGACATGCGAACATTATTATGAATAGGCCTGGATCACTGAAGAAAAGGAATAAACCAGGAATGCCGCTTTGAATTGCATAGGTAGAGCTTGAAAATCAAGCTGCAATTTTATTCAATCTGTGAATACAAATGAGACACAAAAGGATCATAATTACATGTACAATCTTTGCACATATAAATGAACACTGATATATCCAAACATCAACTAAGTTGATGAAAGCTAAAGGCCTACATCAAATTAACTGTATCGACTTCAAGCTCGACATATACTATCATTGAATCAACAGATAAACAAATCTAGAAGTTTCTGACAGTGCGGTTTCTATGCTCTGTTCTGAAACTGAAATCAAGTCAAAATACTACTTTAACTTGTTAAAATGTGTAGTGTAACCAGGGGCGTCGCCCCCCCCCCACCTGTCAGGATATTGTCGGTAAAATTGCGCTGCCGTCGGGAAAAAGAGAAAAGGGGGAGGGAAAAAAGGAGAGGGAAAAAAGAGAAGGGAAAGGGAAAGAAAAGAAAAAAGAAGAGGAAAATAAAAGAAAGAAAGGAAAAGAAACGAAAGAAAGGAAAAGAAAGGAAAGAAAAGAGAAGAAAGAAAGAGAGAGAAAAGAAAAGGAGGGAGGAGAGGAAAGAAAGGAAAAGAAAGAAAAGGAAAAGAGAAGAAAAAAGAGTGAAAGGGAAACAAAAGAAACGGGGGATGAAAGAGAGGAGAGAGAGGGGAGGTAACTTGAATAGTAGATTTATGTATAGTATTCAACAGTGTCACGCCTAAGAATTTCCCAATTTTCCAAGGCAATAAATCTTGTATGCAACTGACTTACATAATTGTTTAATTTCATTTCATTTCATTTCATTTTATTTATTTATTTAAGCACGGAGGCCTACCTCAGCTCGTGGACTGTTCTTCCGTACACTAAGACTTTACTGGGGCGCGAAATTGGGAGATCCCCAATACATTTCATTTTAGGTTTACATGAGTGGACTTGCTCAATGAGTTCATGGTCAATGTAAATATTAAGACATACTGATGACTTAGTCGTAATAAGCATTGTTTTGGTTTTACTTATATTTATCTTAAGACGTTTCCTATTATACCAACTATTTAAAACATTCACTGTATTTTGTAAATTAATAGTAACATTATGAATATTTTCACCAGTAACATAGATAACTACATCGTCAGCATAGAAAGAGCATACTGCATTATTATTACCTTCAGTTATATCATTGATCAATAACAAGAAGAGGACAGGAGCAAGAAAACTACCCTGTGGTACATCAACTAATAATTCATTAATAGCTGAGTTATTACCCTTGGAACTAACTAATTGTTTTCTTCCCGCCTAATAGAATTGAAAGAAGCACTTATGAGATGGGGAGGGGCACTTGTTAGATATATAAAGGGGCACTTAATAGCTGAAGTAACAAAAATAAAATAAATAAAAAGCACTTTTAGGGTACTTGACAACATGTGGGGGATTATGTACCCTCTTGCCCCATGGATCGCCACCTTTGGGTCGGTCGCCTTGATCCCTCAAAAGCGTGTATTGGGGAACTCTCACTATCGTTGCTTTCCTCATTAGCACATGATCTTGCTAAATATCCCCCTCCCCCCCCCCCATTTAGAATAAAATGCATAACGCGGAGTTTTGATTTGTTCAGTCATACAAAAGAAGCTGTTTAGTTGCAAATTATAATAATGTATTTCTCAGACTTTCATTAATTTTGCGCCCGGAATTTGATAAATTATGAAAAAGAACAAATTAATAATAAGATAAATTTCAATATTCAAAATTTGAAAGATTCTCTCAGGGTCAAAAGCAGTGCCATTATGTGTTTTATTTTTCCATTAGGGTGCGCAAACGCATACAAAATTACGTTTTTGAGGTTTGAAAATGCTTAATAAAATCTACCAGTCGGTCGCTTGCATGTATCAAACTTTGTCTACAAAATAATACTACCTATTTTAAGGGACAAGGAGGGCAATTCACCCCCCTCCAAAAAGACAAAATCTTCTGGAAAAAAACAAGGCCGAAAAATATGACTTTCCAATCATAATTATAAAATCCTCTTTATACCCCATTAGTAATGGATTCCTCAGGATTTCTCTCGATGGGTGGCAGTGCAACCTCGTTTTAAAGCCAAACTACAAAATAAAGTTTGGGAGATTGTGGTCACATAATTACCAAGCTCAACAGAGCTAATTTGTTTTTGTAAAATGATGTATTAAAAGCAAATTTGAATGAAACTATATTCAAATATACAAAGAAACTGCAAATGTATGTATGATAAAGAATGAACCTGTATAGAAAAATTAGTTCAAATGTAAGTATTAAAAGCTCCAATATGTTCTGTCTCTTTTTGCTCACTTACAATAGTTATTATTTCAAAGTGTTGTCGCTATCAAACTGCACTAAACAGAAATATTATAATAAATTAAATCATAATTATTATGTTTTAAAATGCGATCAAAACGATGTATGTTGCTCTGACCCCCATAGAGCCCACACACACACACTCACAAATGTGAGTCCATAAAAGAATTGTTCTTGCTGGATCGAAAATGGCTCGGAGATTTTGCCCCGCCCGGCATCAAACGTCTTTGTCACGTAGTGTTAAAATTTCTAAAATAAAAAAGGGAAATAATCTGGATAGTACTTGAAAATGAATATGGGAGGCCGTGCCTTTTTGTTGTTGGTATTCCTAGGGTATGATTATCTCGAAGTAGCCAATGTCATTGACGACTATGCCTAAAATGTGCCCGATATAGCATTGACTAATGTATTGACAATAATTTCAACGTGACATAGATTATCACCGTTATATTTGATTTATGTTTATGCTGTGATTGCTATGTTAATTAGTTTGGTAAACTGTAGAGATGATGATAATATTATTGATAATAATGATTATTGGACAGAGATCGTGTCTATCACATACGACAACGAAAAAGAGAAGAAAATGAAGATAAGAAAAAATAAAGATGTATTTTAGAGATATACATGTTTGTCGTATACTGGCAGGCTTGCTATACTAGAAATGGAATCGGAAAATTGTTTGATTAACATAGAATAAGAAAATACGACGAATAATGAGGAGGACATATAGTCTTATTTGCAATATTTTTTTTTAATCTTGCCAAGGCAATTGAATTAGATCTATCTGCATACATTTTGTATATTTATCTACCGATGTGATTAAAATTGCGACTAACATGAGAATATAAGGAAGATACGTTTAGGTATATATGTAGATATGGGATTATCTGTAACACCCTTAATTTTAAACTGCAAACATTCTACAAACCGATGTGATAAGAAAATACGACAATGAAGAAGAGAAGAAAAAGACGTTTTTAGAGATAATATGGGTTGTTTAAATCTCACTCAGTGCAGAACTCGCATCTCTCCTTTCCTTCATGCATAGCACTAGTTTCTTTTATCACATTGTAAACTTTGACGGGTCTCAAGTTTTCAGTCTCTGTTTTCTTCATACCAAGTATCATGGAATTATGAACATTATTAACATCGGAATTGTGTTTGATTCAAGCTTCAGGCTTAGTACTAAGCATTTAATAAAGTAACAAGATATATAGTTGATACATCGTAGATGCGACAAAGTAGTTTGGATTCGCTCTCTTTTTGTCTTTCAGGTTTTCATTGCGGTTTACCTACATAAATCCATGACTTCTTTGATCTTGTCGACGTCGTAAAGCCATCGTCCATAGACTACGTTCAGCCTCTTCACATCCCACGTTCACGGCACCAATGGGGAAGTTGATCATGTGACTAATTTACATAATGTAGAGTAAGGGTCTGATATGATCTTGCCCTATTCCCATCTCAGCAAATATAGAGTTCCATATCAGGAAGACTTGTGTTCTAAACATCAGGGGCAAATTTGAATATTCATTATTATTTGAATACACCACGTCACATCTCATCAAGTCTCGTCACCTCTCGTCACCTCTCGTTACCTCTCGTTACCTCTCGTTACGTCTTGTCACGTTACGACACTACCTGTGGTAAGACATACTTAAATCTTTATGGTAATATTTCCATGTTAACTAGCTTTTATGATTAGTTAGACCTAATTGTATGCAGATATAATTTATTGTAGCAAAAAT